GATATCAATGATATCTGACAGTGATTAAAATCACTATCAAAAAAAACGCTTCGATGCAAATCTTTAGATAATGTTTCACAGTGAAGACAAAATAAAGTCCGAAATTTTTTTTTTCATAATAAAATACATTACATTAGCTTTAATTTAAGATATATATAAAAGGGTCAGATTTACAAAAAAATATATCAAATGATAAGTAAAGACATCAAGTATCTATATAAAAAAAAGTTATATTGATATGTTCATTTTTGAAAAAGTTATAGCATTATTAAGTTAAAAATTTCTATGTACTATGTAGTATGTGTACGATTAGTGGTCGTTATATTTCTATGTGTTCATTTTTTAATAAACAAATATCATTACATATTTCATTTCTTTTTAAAACATAACTAACCAATTTATTTTATCTTCTTATCACTTTGTTAAGCATGACAACATTTTTCCAGCGCCGCCACCACATAACGCGAACGCAAAAATCCCACACGATGTTGCCGCATATTATATAATAATACGAGTAATAATACAATAATATTACATTTACAACATTTCATCTAAACTGTAGCATTACAATATAAAAAAAAAAATTATTTTACAAAAATTGTAATTTTTTATTAACTTTGATGTCTATTTTCACCACGAAGACAAGTCCAGAGGTTAATTTTTTTTTTTTTTAATTAAAGTATATTACATAAGCTTCAATTAAAGATATATAAAAGTGTTAGACCTTTCGGAACATTTTCAAAAGTTAAGTTGAAAAAGTTGTCATTTTAAATCCCCTTCTGTGTGCAGATAAAGGGTGAAATTTAAAAAAATTTTAGGTAAAGACATAAAGCATCTATAAAAAAAAAAATTATATTGATATGTTCATTTTTGAAAAAGTTACGGTAGTTTTTAGTAAAAAAAATTGAAAAAATTTCGAAAATTAGCGATTTTTAAATTTGTAATTTTTTTGGAGGTTTCCCCCATTTACGGGAAACGAGGGAAATTTTTTCAATTTTTGAGGGTAATGTCTTCGACTAGATACGATTTGTGATCTTTTGACGTATCGTCGAAAGAAATCCGTTCGGTGAGAGCTGAGAAAAAGTGGTAACATATATACAAAAAAAAAAAAAATACATCATTGTAAAACCAATACCTTCTCAGCTTCGCATCGAAGCTAAAAGTTGTTTTGACCACTTTTTACAGTGGCGTAATTTTGAGATATTTGCTTAAATTGCTAGAATTAAAGAAATTGTTTTCAATATTTGGTGAGGAAGTATTGAATTACGTCGATTTTAGTATAATATAAGCTTTACAATAGTAGTAAGCAATTTTTGAACTCGTAAGCAACATAATAATTTCATATAAAAGGGAAATGCAGGGTATGCAAATTAATAGTGGTGGGAAAAAGAATATAAAAGGGAAACATGAAAAGTATAGAGGGACTGGACTGGACGAGACTGGACGTTTTGATGAAAAAACATCGAATTACGGGTTAGGTCGTTGGTGTGCGAGTAACTTTGTATTTTTTTGTAAGATTTAATTAATTTTGTGTTAAATTTTTATATTCTATTTGGCTTTATGTTTTTACTTTATATAAATAAAATTATTATTTAAAAATCTGTACTTGAGAGTAAATACTTTATATCCATCGTTATATTAAAATTTGTGTATGTGCGGCAAGAGTCGAGGTTGGACTACTGGTCCTTTAGTCAATTTTAATAATTAGTGTGCGTGCTGGCTGGTTTTTGGGCTTAGCCGTCCTCTAATAGGTATTGTGAAAAGATATTTGTGCTGGTGGCTGACAAGGACCTGCTACTTTTGAGCTAGACCGTGCTGACGGGTCTAAACTTTACCCATTTAGTACTTCACTAATATGAGGGATTGGGGCTGATCAGTTTATCCAACGGGAAGACTCGAGAAGAGCTTGAACGACGAACTCGTATATATATATATATATATATATATATATATAAAACCATTAATTAATTTGTGTAAAACTTTTGTGTCTACGTTGGGGCACTACTGACGTACGACAAAGTTAAACATGATTAAATCATGTTCTTTTGACGCATTGGTCATTATAAATATATAAATTTATTATAAATTAATTCAATTTTCGGAAATACAGTTTTAAATTATAATATAAAAAATACTTACTTTTATTATTTATTAATAAAATTCAGTGACGGCTCGTACTCTAAGCGCGTAAGACACAAGTGTTACTGACTTGGCAACCGTACATCGCAATCTTCGACCAAAAATAAAATAAAGAAATTTAAGCTTGTTGAGAAATAGTAGTGAGAGACAAAAAACAGATCATAGTAAAATTAATACCTTCTTAGCTTCGCATTGCAGCTAATATAAAAAAAAGATTTTTTTTGCAAAACTTACTTTTTATTAACTTTGATGTTAGTTTTCACCATGAAAACAAACTAAAGTCTGAAATATTTCTCTTTCATACTTCAGTATATTAAATTAGCTTCAATTTAAGATATATATAAAAGTGTCAGATCTTCCAGAACACATTCAAAAATTAAGTTGAAAAAATTTTTAAGTTTTGAACACTCCATGTATAAAGGATACTGGTCCAATTAAAAAAAAAAGTTATAGCGTTATAAAGTAAAAAGTATAAAAATTAATTTTTTTACCAAAATCGTATTTCTTTTTATTAACTTTGATGTCCGTTTTCATCATTAAAATGTTTTTTTCATAATATAGTATATATCATAAGCTTTAATTTAAGATATATATTAGGGTGGTCCTTATTTTTCAACTTCACAAATTCAGAGTTATGGGCTCAAAATTTCGCTAGGTTCACTGAAAATATGAAACTGGTAAAATTTAAGTACAATAAGTCAACCCCTTCACGTGCCTCAAAGGGGTTGAAGTTCTTCAAAAATAGGGTGGATTTTCTTTTTTTGAGTGCACGCTCTTTATTTTTGAAGTTTCGCTAAAAACACAAAGAACAATTTTTATAGAACTTAATGTGAACAAAAAATAAGGTAATTTATTATTTTTTTGTAAAATTAATATTTTTTCGTAAAAATAAGAAAAATTAGTTTCACTTAAATTTTTAAAAAAATGATATAGTTTTCAATTATACTTTTCCAGTGTCTTAAATTTTAATTGTACACAGAAATTGTACTAAAGTAATATCAATTAATGTGATATCTTCTATAAAAAAGGTTATTTGAGTTTTTTTCAAATTATGAATCCTTTCCAAATAAAAATTTAAAACAACTAGGAAAACTTGTTTTTTTTTTAAATTTTTTTTGCATGTATGTTTTTTTGTTCATAAATTAAAAAATGTTCTTATTATTTGTAACTAACGGAATTCAAATTTTATTTTTCCATTTTTATATTTACTTTGTGATTTATCGAATGATTTATGATAAACCGATCACTTTGTATAGACTTTTATCAGTGGTGGCTCGTGGCTTGGACGTCGGGACGATCGCACCCCCTACTAAAATTAATTAAAAGAAGAAAATTAATTGCATATTCTTAATTCTACATTTATATTAAAAATGCACATTTTTAAAGAGTAAAATAGTTGTGTGCGAACATTAAAGTTGCTTTCCTCAGTATATGTGGGTACTAGGATGGTCCTTATCTACATAAGTCATTTTTTTTTATTAAATTCAATCAGGACGCAAAAGAATGTTAAAAAAATACATTTTGTGAAGTTTCGTGATTGTCCAATAATTTTTTCCTGTGCCGCAGAAGGGTTAAAATTTAATAAATAGGGGTAAAAATTAGTTTTTTACGTATAACTTGTTAAATTTTACTTGAATCAAAAAAAATTACTGAATAAAATTAGTTTAAAAATGTATTTTCTACAAAATATGTTATATTATTTTTTACTCTATATTGCATATTTAATTGAATAATCAATAAAACACATAAATACACTGATTTTTCCCGATTCTAATTTTTTGCCTAATTCAGTCTTTATTAGCGTAATCGACAAATTTTTACAAAATCTATATAAATTATAAAATTTAGATTTGAAAATTATGTACAAATATTGTTTAGTAAAAATTTTTTCTAAATCTGAAAGGTGTATAATAAAAATAAATAAATTAAATACTAATATGTTTTCTGAAATCAAATGTTTTTATCTTTAAAGAAGTTTTCGGCCGAAAATAAGATGAATAATAATTCTTTAGTCTGAGAGACTAAAAATGTAAAAAGGCCTAGATTTGATATAGAATTGTAACTAAAAGTAAACTATATACCGATGCATAGTCCATGAGGGAACACTAATTTTAAGATATATTTTTATTAAGTATATGCATTATTTATTACTTGTATTAAAATGTGATACTACAAACATCACCTATCATTTTATATACTTTTTTGTGATTTTTTTGTAGGTTAAACACGTTAATAATTTAATCATTTAGTACGATATGTACTAAATGATGGCATTACAATAAATAAATTATACCGTAGCAGGATATCTTAATTTTTGTGCCTGTTTCATATAATACTAATACAATAGAACCTCATTAGTCCGGACTTCGCTTAATCCGGACAACCTAGAGCCCTAATTATTCCGGATTAATGAGGTTCTACTGTACTTAAATAAAAAATTCCTATAACTATTGTTTCAGTTAATATTTGTGTTGCTTTGTTTTCGAGTAATTTTATCAATATCGGGCTTAATTTATTATATAAAATCTAATTTATTTTTTTGTATTTAAAAATACTAATAAATTAACACACATATATTTAGGATATTCATAGGAATATAATTGTCTAAACAAATACTCAATTTTTATAAATTATATAGTATTAAAAATTAATCATATTAAAAGAATCATCAAAAAAGAACATCAACTTTGAATTGTGTAAATTATTATTGGAAATAATATCGGAAATATTTAAGAGGTATAATAGCTTTAAAATTAAAAAAACTAAAAGAATATTATTATAATACGAAAGTTGATTTATCATAAATATTTATCTTACTATTTATAAATAAAGAACAAGATAAATACAGGTCTTATAGAACTTTGTCGAATTATATTTGAACCGAAAAATTTCAATCATTATTATTATTATTTATTTTCCAATGTTGTTATTAAAACTTATCCATTTATGTATTTTATTATTTTTTGTAATATATACAAAAGGAGATTGGTGTAATAAAGAGAAAGTAGACAAACTTCGTAAGTTACTACAATGTTCAGGATGGAAAAATTTAAACGATATCAACTTTATACAATACTACGGTAAAAAATATTATCCTCACAATTTGCTTGAAACACAAACAAATGGCAATAATTGTGAACAAAAAACACGAGGTTTGACTGTATTTCTTGGATGCACATATATAAAAGTTTTAAAAAATCTTTTTACATCAGTTATTAGCAACATATTACAAAATTGTCAAGAAAACGACAATCTTAATGGAATAATTTGGACAGAAGAACTCATAAACATAATCTCCATTTTAATTGTTCCAATGGCAACATTGATGAAAGGAGCAATTGAAGCTTTGGATAACATACATAACTATCCATTGACTATTCTAAATAAATTCTTTATGATAAGTCCTTTATTAGAAAAAATAGAAAATATTCTTGACGAATTAAAAGAACAAAATATATCACGTGATGATTTAACGACTTACTATAGCATATTACAAATGGTAAGATTATGTTCTAAAAACATAATAATAGTTTTACAAGTACAAATTAAATCCTATTGTGAGTTTGTACCTTGTGATACAAATGATTTATGGGATGAATGGTCTCAAGAATATGAAGCCTTTATTGACCAAGATGAAAAATTATTATTTATTAAATTCCTAACCAAAAAAATTAAAAATTATATAAAAACAGTAATTAAAGAAAATTATTTTCAACTCGGATTTAAATTTGATCCAATTACTGAAGAAACATTCATACCAACACCAACGGAACCAATAGATCCAGGTATTTATAATAACATATATTAATTAAAATATAAATTCAATGACTTAAAAATTATTATTTTTTGAATTTAGAATTGGAATTTAAAGAAACATTTGAATACTTATAATTACAATACAAATAAGCACTCAATAAATATTTTTCTCAATTTAGGGTTTTATATATTATATAAAAAATATTTTATTATTTATACATAAAATCAATAATAACACACTAAAGATATTGAAGATAGTCTCAGGAATAAATTTTTCTAAAGAAAATCTTATGTATTCTAAATAAATAAATATAATAATGAAGTACGGCAATCAACACGAATCTGTTAAAACTCTAATTTAAATTTTGTAAAATATTATTCGATATAATATGGGAAATGTTTAGTTAACTCTAAAATTATAAAAGTGTACGTATATTATTATAATACATCAGATGTTTAAGCATATATGTTATTTTTATTTTCTATTAATGTAGAATATACGTGGCATTTGACACTTTGGTAAATTGTTTTTTAAATCTTTAAATAATTTTTAAAATATATAAAATGATTTTATTTAAATTTATTTATATCATCAAAAATTAATGTTTTAGTATAGTAATGCCTAACAGTAGTTTTAGGGCGACTCACAATAAGCCGGTCGAGAAAAAAAAAAAAAGATATGATTTATACTGCACCCGATTTTATCACGTCCACACTGTGCTGGGTTTTTTTTTGTGTCTGTTACTACTTTTCTCAGCTCTCACCGAACGGATTTCTTTCAACGATACATCAAAAGATCACAAATTGTATCTAGTCAAAGAAATTTTACTTAAAAATTGAAAAATTTTCCCTCGTTCCCCGTAAATGGGGGAAACCTCTAAAAAAATTACAAATTTAAAAATCGCTAATTTTCGAAATTTTTTCATTTTTTTTTACTAAAAACTAACGTAACTTTTTCAAAAATGAACATATCAATATAATTTTTTTTTTTATAGATGCTTTTTATATATCTTTAATTAAAGCTTATGTAATATATTTTAATTAAAAAAAAAAAAAAATTAACCTTTGGACTTGTCTTCGTGGTGAAAATAGACATCAAAGTTAATAAAAAATTACAATTTTTGTAAAATAATTTTTTTTTTTATATTGTAATGGTACAGTTTAGATGAAATGTTGTAAATGTAATATTATTGTATTATTACTCGTATTATTGTATAATATGTGGCAACATCGTGTGGCACTTTTGCGTTCGCGTTATGTGGTGGCGGCGCTGGAAAAATGTTGTCATGCTTAACAAAGTGATAAGAAGATAAAATAAATTGGTTAGTTATGTTTTAAAAAGAAATGAAATATGTGTAATATAGGTCATTATTTTGTAAAATTGAAAACAAAGCATTTTTGTAATGTTTGGTTTAACTATGAATTTCTTGATCTATTATTACAAAAATATAATATAGTCTATTATTTGTAAACCTAGATGTAGAACACTTTTGTAATGTTTAGATTAATTGTAATTCCCAAATTATTGTTACTATCAGGAAGTAAATATTTATAAACATTTTTGAAAATGATTACTATATGAATTTTATAAAAAGAAAAAGAAAATATGTTAGTATATAAGATGAAATGGAATGAATTGAAGAGAGGTGAAAGAAAGAGAAGACCTCGGCAGTACCGAAGGTAATCTCTTTCCGTGTGGTACGTTTGTGACATTAAGTTTTTATTTTGTGTATTATTTATTTATCCGTTTTTAAGTGTATCAATATTTTATATGTTTTATTTTGATTGATTATATCTTTATTAACTACATTTTGCGTTATTATTGAACTACTATAACTATAAGTTAGAACAAAGAGATTGTTCCATATATAAATACAACATATATAATGATATTTGTTTATTAAAAAATGAACACATTGTTTTTGTTTTTTTCTCTAATGAACTGATACGATCACATTTGCATGTGCCCATATCTCTGTCTCCCATAACATCGTTGTACCGTTTAATATATATATATATATATATATAATTAACACAGTGACATACAGCAATACTAACAGGAGGGCGGACTGCACACATAAACACTTTTTGCAATTCACGGCCAATGTGCCATAATAGATATCCCTATCGACGGTTGACATTTTACCATCTTCGCGATCACTACTTTTGCCTGATAATTAACTTAACTTCGCTACCCCGTATATTATAGTGTGTGTGTGTGTCGCCGTCAGCTCCCTGTTGGATTATATCATCTCTAGGTGTCCAGCAGGTTGTATTATCCATTTAATATTTCAATTGCTTAATAAATATTTATTTATATCGTTGTTAACCTAAAGTGATATATATATATATTGTAGTGCGACCCTTGGTAGTTCCTCTAAGGGAATATAAATTAAATAGGAAACTTCAGTACCTAAGGTAGATATAGCCTAGCCAGCTATCCCCCGTTGGTCCCTTAGAATACTGTCGACGGGCATTTAGGCTAAACCCCTAAATAGCGACGTAACAATTGGTGGAGGCGCCGATCTCTCTGTTTTATTTTAAACTTTCAGTGAGGGATCCCCCCCTAAGTGTACTACAATTTTTATATACCGCTTTTCACGGTTAATTTATAAATTAAATATTTTTTATTTATTATTGGCTCACTTTATTATAATAGTAACAATTGTATAGTTAGGTATAACTATAAATTAAGTCTTTGAGTTACATAATCTTTTATATACGTTTATATGCCTCTCTATAGTTATTATTTAAAACGCACCTTTAATAATCAAACTTGTAGAATTACCGAAAGAGTTTGGAATCTATTAGGTTTTGATAGTAATATTTTGGAACTAACACCAGATCAGGTTATTAGTTCATTTGGAAAGAAAAGGGGTATTTCTGTTTCTAAGGCTTTTGATCATACCGCTTTTATAAAATTTCCAGTAGGAGCAACTTTAATTTACGAAAGCACTATATTCGAAGTTTATAAACGAGAAAGTAAACGGCTCTATTTACCGAAACAGTTTCAACAAATCTCCCTTTTAGAAAAAATTGAAATTTTAAAAAAAGATACGAAAGGTTATTATTTTTGTTATTGTACAAAAGGGGAATTACTTAATATTTTGTCATTTTTAAACGCAGAACAGCCGATTAATAGTCACACTAAAGATTTGATAAATAAATTACGTTCTGTTTTCAAACAACCACCCCTCTCAGAAAAATACGAATCTGATTCGGACTCCGAAGCAGAAAAACTTGATAAAATTCCAAGTACTCTGCCGGTTCCACTAAGCACAAAAAGCGCTTCTTCGAGTGAATCGAACACCCCTACCGATCTCGACAAAACCGTTGTCAAATTTCCTTTAGCTAAACCATCAGAAATTTCACGCGAGGTCACCGTAGAACCTAAACCTATTTCTGCGCAATCAAAACTTTTAGAAAATAAACCAGTTAAATTAATAACTACTATGGCTAGCTCAATTTTACCACAACAGTTCTCGGGTAAATTATCGGAGGATATTATTAGATTTTTTTCAAATTTCGAACGAGTTGCGAAAGCTAACGGTTGGGATGATAATATGAAACTTGTTATGTTACCACTTTCCCTTAAAGGCCAGGCACAGACAGTGTTTGAAAATAAAGAAGCAGAAGTGGATATTCCTACTTGGCAGGCAATGAAAAATGTACTAATTAAATATTATAATTCAGAAGCCCAGAGAAGAATGAGACTTAAGAAATTAAGAGAGAGAAAAAAAGAGGACCATGAAAGCATTTT